TATAAATCAGTGACTAAAGTACTGCGTAGGATTCCCAGACCCATTGCCAACGTGATGTGTGGAAGATTGTCTATAAGTATTACAATTACTGGACACCAGCAGGGTTCTGAGAACTCAACTCAATTCACCTCAATTTTGACCCTACAAAGAGTTAGTATCAGATTACACCCAAAAGGATTGTAAACTGGAAATAAAGTCTCAATGATGGTTAGTTAAATATTTTATCAAAAAAAATAGTTTATCCAATAATCAAAGTGAAGATTCAAACCTAGGAAACAGTACATCAGATTTTACTCTGGGAGAACTGTTCTAATAAATGCAAGTCTCAACTAGTTTATAGAGGCAGAACATTTAATCATTGGCATTAAAAATGTAAGTATTCTTGAGGCGGGGAGTCCTTCTGGTTCACCATGATTTTGACCTACATATATGTTGATGTTATCTATGAACAGGAAGGTAGGGATTCAATCTCTTCTAAAAAATGTGGAAATTTGCACTGTGGAAATGCAAAGTCTGAGTACCCATTATTTAAATCTTCTTTATCTGGCTACTTGGTGAATAGGGAGGGTTGAAAAGACTGACTTTACCTGCAGGCAGCTGATTTCACATAAATGTTTCAGGCTTCAGGTCTATGCAGGTAGCTTTGCGCTCTGGTCTGCTAGAGCAAGGAGGGGTCATGTTCCTAGAACATTTGACAGTCTGTTCAAGGGCTAGTCTCTTAACACCACGCTCCTGCCGCTGCAGGCACAGTCTGTTAACTGTTTCTGATCAACCCTACAGATTGGTCTGCAGGATGCTCTCCTCAGGTTTATTTAACATGCCAGAATGGCTCCCAGAACTAAGTAAACCAGTTTATTTATTAGATCACTGATTTATTACAAAGGATACAAATCAACAGCCAGATGAAGAGATACAAAGGACAAGGTTCAAAGAAGCTTCTGTCCTTTTGGAGCTTAGGATTCAAAATTGTGGTGTTGGAGCAGCCCAGGGCAGCTGAGCTTTAGACCCCAAAGCCCTTGGGGCTGGCAGCACAGCCTCCTGGACTGAGCTCAGACTTTGTTTCCCAGACATCCAAGCATTGGAGGGGAAGATGCATGGTCGAATTTCTTCCCCTGATGTCTTAAGCAAGGGGGCTGCTGAGAAGGGGGTGGAGTGGATTTGCCATTTTAAGAGCCTTTAAAAGGGGCGAGGCACCTGGCTTATCCTTATTGTCACTCAGCTTCAGAAAGCAGCCACCACACTGGTCAGGCAGGCAGCAGGGCTTGGCCCCCCACCCTTGAGGGGAGAACTTTGGGGGCTCAGTCTCAGCAGTGACAGACCTCTGCCACACCCTACCACCCTGGATGGTAGCAGGACTTGATAAGACTGCCCTGATGTGCCAGCAGGCCCTGGTTCTGGATGCAATAGACATTTCTGCACCCATCCAAGTCCTACAGCTGCAGTCCTACCTTGAGTAACTGGAACTTCTCCATCTTTCTCTATCTGCTAGTTCTCCCTCTCCCTCTATACTGTTAAAATACTTTTTCCCCTCTTTTGTCACACCAAAGAACTTTTTGTTTGCATTTGTGGCACAGTGCACAGAAACAGAACCAGTGATGGAGATTCGGACCTGGTGTCAATTTTAAACCTTTACCTGAAAACAGTGGCAGATGGAATTGCTCTGATTCTCCAACCCAGAAGCTCTCACAAGTCCCTACTTTTTGGGTTCTTATGAAAGTTTCACTACATAGGCATGATTGACTAAATCATTGGTCACTGGCAATTGAACTCAACCTCTAGCACCTCTCTCTCCCAGGAAATCAGGGATTGGGGCTGAAAATATCACCTCTATTTATATTGTTTTTCCTGGCAACCAGTCTCTTCCTTGTGTTTTCTCAAAGTTACCTTCATTAGCATAATAAGAAACACATTTTTTTAAAAATATTTATTTATTTTATTTATATAAGCACTGGGTACAGTTAGAAGCGCGGGAGGGTGAGAGAATTCACCAGAGCCAGAGCGGAGAGCAGAAAAGGCAGACTGATGAAGTACACTGCTGAGGGGAGCAGTGGGCAACAGGAGAGGTCTGCGCACCATTTGGGACCCTCGCCGGTGGCCGGGGAACGAACCGGCGCTGCAGAGGCTGTGGGCAACTTTGCAACCCAGCGCTCAATGGCTGCGCCACTGGGGAGGCCCAAGAAACACATTTAACACTAAGGCAATGTCAAGACTTTTGAGAGCCATGAGGGAGAACTGGTATAAAGACCAAATATGTATGAGAAATTTTTGTATATTATAATATCACAGCCACATGTCAATGAGATCATTACATTAAAAGGAAATATCCGGGGGCCTCCCTGGTGGTACAAGGGGATAAGACACAACCTATGAAGCTATCCGCAGCCACTACAGCGTGAGTTCGATCCCAGGCCAGGGAGCTACCTGCATGGTGCAGCAGACCTCTCCTGATTGGCCCACTGCTCCCCTCAGCAGTTTATTTCAGTCAACTTGCCTGCTCTGTTCCCCACTCTGTCTCTGGTGAATCCTCTCACCCCCACACCTATGGCCTGTACCCCTGTTCTTGTATGCATAAAGAAATCTTTTTTTAAAAAAGGAAATATCCTGGTGATGTGTTAACTAAAATCAACATTGAACAGGATCCCCCTCTCACTGGTCCCAACTAAGGGATGCAAGCCTAAGAGCCAAGGCACAGCTGGACTGACTGACCTTGCCAAGAAGCTGCATCAATAACAACAAAATAAAGTTGTCTCCAGGAAAATTAGTAACTTCAAAGAAAGCCAGACTTAAGGTTTATAGCATTGCTAAAACATGGAACTCAAAGCTCCCAGAAGATAAGGGTCTAAATAGGATAATGTCAAATAGATACATTAACTGGATGCTTGCCCATATGTTCTCTATAAAAATCCTTGAAAATGTAAATGTATTCCTTTCAGGTTATATAAAATTCTCATTGTGAGCCTCAGAATTTGGATAGCTTTCCCAGAGTTACCTGGATACTTATTCCCAGGTTCAAGTTTCAGTCTTGATTCTTGAATAAACTCAAGGAACTTTTGCTTGCCTCAACTTATTGAAACCAACAGTAGACCAGACACTATTTTAAATTTTGTATCAGAGATCAATAAATCAAAGCTGGGTTGATTTTATCGAGTCTTAAGACTATAGCCAATGGAAACAGACCCAAGAAGCACTAGAATTGTGTGCCCATATTGCTGGGGTTTGGAAACATTTATATGCATGAAAGGGACAGGCTACTCCACACTCAGATCTACACTATGCAAATAAGGTTTTCAGTCAGTGTAGTTCTGAATTTTGGAATGTTGGCTGAGAGGTAGTTGGCCAAATTTCAATCACTGGGTGTGGTTTCAATCTGTGGCAAGGTGGTGTGTTTCAATTTCATCTTGGTGGATGCTTCTGGGCATGTCCAATCATGCCAGAGGAACTGACCAAACCTGGGCTCAGATCCTAACAACCTCCTAATTCTCTTTTAGTGACTTAGACTCAAAAGACTACAAATCTTTTCATATTTCTTGTCAGTATTGTTTTCTTCTGCAAGAAAATCAAGAAGAAATTAGGGCAGAGTGAATCACAGAGCTGTGATCCAGGAGCTGGCGGGAGAGGTGGTAAGTGCTTGGTGGGAAGTTGAATGTTGGTTAGGAGAACCAAAGATCCCTGATAGGTTGGAAAATAAAGAAAAGCAGACTTTAAAAAACTTGGGATTGTGACAACAATTTAAATAAAAATACTCTGGAATCAATTTCCTTCACGTGATTCTGGTTAAAATCATGTTTTTGTTTTGTTTTTTTTTTTTTTATATACAATAGTTCTTTGTGCAAGTTACATCACTAATAATGAAATCACATTGGGTCAATACATTGAACTTCTTCGACCATGGAAGATAGTTTTCTACAATTAGGGTAAAGAAGTCTCAAAATAGTCTCCATACCTTTCATCTAAATACAGGGAAATCCATCTTTTAGAGGTCCGTCTCCTTTGATACCAGGGATTATATGATTGATTTAATATGAAGATTCACTGGAAACATGCTAAATAAAATACCTCTGATTATTTTATTAATCTTTTTCAGTTGTTTCCTAAAACCCTATCATGCACTAACCTAAACATGGATGTTACAAAAGTAATAAAAGATCACATATTTCAAGACTACAAATGACTTAATTTTTAAAATCCTTTTCTAGGATTGTGGGGATTTTAAAATCATGTTCATACTATGGAAAATTCCATTCATAATTTTCATTTAATAAACTGGAAGATGATATAAGAAACCCTTTCCGTCACAGGAGCTCGCTGAAGAGGGAACAGGAATGGGAGTAACCTAGAAATCTTTTTCCTCAGAAAAAGACTATTAAATAAAATACCTACACTGGGTATTTATAAAGTTCAAGATCATTCTAAAGCAGGGTTCTTAGCCTTGGCAGTACTGATATTTAGGGCCAGAAACTTCTTTGTTGTGAGGGACTGTCCCATGCATGCTAAGATGTTCAGAGCATTCCTGGCCTCTTCCCAGTAGCACGATTCCAGTACTAACAACCAAAATTTCTTCACATGTTGCCAAAATACCCCTTAAAGCCCCAAATCATCCCAGTTTCAGAAACACTATTCTAGAGTCTTGCTCCTGAAAGTGTGGTCTGAAACGCACCAGCATTGCATGTAAGCTTTTAAAAATGGGAATTTCAAGCTGCCTATTCAATATGATCTCAGTCATACTGAATCATAATTTGCATTTTAACAAGGTTTCCAAGTGACTCATGCACATTCAAGTTTGAAAAGCAATGTCAGATTATATGGATCACACAGAGTATTTATCAGTGTAAAGGAAGTGAAGGTATGGGGGAGGTAGAGAGAGAGAGAAAGTATTAGTGCACAACTGAGGGGTACCTAGGGACCCCAAACTGTTAAGGTGTGCACACTCTAAAAGGGATTCAGCCATCTGCATGCAAAAAAAAAAGGAAGAAGACACTTAGTATGATAGATATATTTTTAATAGAATTGGTGTGCATAAAGAGAGAAGAAAGTATTTCAAATAATAGCTTCCTAATAAAACTCCAAAAATTATCCATTCCTTCATAAGCAAATGACCAAATAGGCTCAGCCTGAAACCAGGCCATTGAAACTCAAAAGCATGCCACAAGTTTAAGGTACTCTCTGTCAAAGAACCATCAAAAAAAAAAAAAAAAACAAAAACAAAAAACAAAGGTTACGCATGTCCCAGTTAGCTGAAATAGAAGGAGAGAATCAAAAATCAAAATATACCACCCATCAACATAATGGCTGCCATTGTCTCTACCAAGACCAGAAGCAGTATCTCCATGTGTTCCTCACCTACATGTCTCTTCCGAGTGATCTTTGCTCCTTGCTCCTTTTCAGCTGTCCCTGATACAGGAAGTCCGGCTCATGGCATAGTGGGACTTGTAATCCAAGGTGGCGGCATGTAAATGAGGGCAGGGAAAATGGATGGTACCTCCCCTATTCATGAAGGGATATCTGTAACAAAAGGGGAGAAATAAAAATTAAGAAATTTGGTTTAGGGCCTCCCCTGGTGGCGCAGCAGTTGAGCGCTGGTTTGCAAGGCTGCCCACAGCCTCTGCAGTGCTGGTTCGATCCCCAGCCACCAGCGAGGGTCCCACAAAAAAAAAAAAAAAAAAAGAAATTTGGTTTAAATTAAAGATATATAAACCTTCAAAATCAAACAACAAGTGGGGTAGAGAGGATTTATACCTATCATTATATTTGTCCAAATTCATAGAGCAAATGCTACCAAGAATGAGCCCTAATGTAAACTATGGGTTCAGTGATAATGATGTGATCAAAGTAGGTTCATCAATTATTAAAAAGAAAGCTTCCATTCTTATAGGGAAACTGAACAGGTCAGGAAAAAGACAAAAATTTGTAGGCTAACCTTAGATCTGAGGCATACAGCAGGGGAGGGGGAGGAAGAGGGGTCATTACAGGGGCAGGAGGAGCACAAGGTGTAACAGGGTGGTCCCCAGGAAAGGGGGAGGTTCCAGGTTCCCTGCCCCACCCAAATGGAGGGTGGAGCTGAGCAAGGAGAGAAGAAGCTGCAAAAGAGACTGAAGAAGGAAGGGAAGCAGGATGCAGAGCCAGAAGGAGACCTGCAGGAGGCACATGGAGCCAAAAGACATGTGAAGAAAACTGTGCTTGCCTTTTGTTTGTGGACTGGGTGACACAGATGTGGGTGTGAGACCCGTGGGGAGGTGACAATGGCAGTTTTTATCTTGATTTTGATTTTGCTCTTTTCCTCCCAGACTTGTCTGGTGGCTTCTGATCCTTTTCTGTGGGTCCCCACTGCAAGATGCTTTAGACTTGTGGCAGGCTTTGGGGCCATGCTCTGGGCCAATCCCATTTGGATGGAGTTTTACCCATGAGGGGAAGGGTAACTTTGGGTGCTTGATTTAGAAACTATATTCTTTGCCTTTCCTGTATTGTTTCCAAATTGTATTAAAGTTCCTTCCCATTAAAGTCTCATATGTTTTGTGTTGATGTGGCGGATGGCAGAACCCATTTAGAGCAGGCAGGTTTACGGGTTCTGGCTGCCCCTCTCCCTGCCCTGTAACAAAGGGACTATCATGATGGTAAAAGATGCCTTGGTGATGGGAAAATTATGGGGACCTACATATGAGGGGAGAAATTAAATATTGTAAAAATAAACAACAATGTAAGAAAACAAATAACAACAACAACAATAATAAATGTGCAATACACAGAAGAGGAATGGAGGAATGGAAATAGGAAGGAAGGAAGGAAAGTTCTACTCCAGTGAGTTTAAGTTCCATGCAGGAGACCGACTGCAAAAACCCACCAGGAAGCCCACCTGGGAACAGGAATGCGGAAGCCTGCATAGAGAATTCAGACAATGAACCTCCTCCCACCCTACAAATCTTTTCTCAGACAAAGAAACTCCCCTCGCCCTACAAATGTTTTCGTGCCCTACAAACTTTTTCCCCACCATACGAACCCAGTCTCCCACCTGACCTCTCCTCACCCTACAAAAGCCTGCCTTCCCCTGACAACATGCATGGTTTCACTGACCCCCACCTTGGGTTGGTGAGGTCCACCCGGGGCACAATAAATTTTCCCTTCCTTTGAGAAATTTATCCTGGCTCTCCTTTTCTTTACCGCGCCGAACCTTTCCGTGAGGAACTTGTGGGAGAGGATATTCCTGTACAGAGGCAGAGGTTTTGTGAAATTTCTATACCATCCTCTCAATTTCGCTGTGCATCTAAAACTGTTCTTCAAAAATTTTAAATCTGGGCCTCCCTGGTGGTGCTGTTATAGGGCAGACCCGATACAAAACAGGTTGCCGACTTGAGACAAAGATTACACTGCGAGTCCTGCAGACCTAGTGCGCTTATGGTGACCAATGCAAGGAATGTTTCTTTGGGCTGGTCAACCGCGGGTGTAACTTGGAAACCACGTCGGGTGCCAAACTGTTATAGGGCAGCCCCGATACAAAACGGGGTGCCTGACTGTGGGTCCTCACCCGCGCTTAAAAAGACTTATCAATACTCTACTGCAGGCACACGCGAAAGGTTAATAAAAGGTTTATTTACAAGGGAAGGGCAAATGAGGAAATGTACAACTCAGGGAGAAAAGTGGGAGACAAAGTTTTAAATGTGTCCTACCCGATCCGCCGATCTGGAATCCCAAATGGCACTCTGAACGCTGGCTGCAAGCCAGGAGCCATGAAGCTATGAGGCGAGCAAGAGAGCGAGCCCCCCAAGGCCCACGTGTTTGGTTTTTATACCAAACCTGGCTGCTTAACTCCACCCTCAGGTCCCAGCCACCTTCCCTTTGGTGGTGATGGGATTTGTCTTTCCCAATGTCTTGATGTCTCTGGTCTGGAGTGGGGGTGGGGTCCACAAAACCTGCATGGAATTAGTCCAGGACATCCTTTCCCCCTAACAGTGCAAGGGGTTAAGTCTCACTACTATGAAGCTATCCACAGCCACTGTAGCACAAATTCCATCCCCAGTCAAGGAGCTGACCCACATGGCACAGCAGACCTCTCCTGTCTTGCCCTTTGCTCCCCTCAGCAGTATATTTCAGTTAATCTTCCTGTTCAGTTCTCCACTCTCTCTGGTGAACCCTCTCACCCTTCGGCACCTCTGGCCTGTACCCCAGCTCTTGTATGTGATGGAGGAGAGAATAGAAAACCTAAAGGAGACATTACAAGACTAAAACCTGACTCTCACAAGGAGGTTGGAGTAGAGGGGATTAATGTGACCATAACCCAGCAATAGAAATCAAGATCCTTAGGCGCCAGTGCATTATCACAAGGCGTAAGGTCCAAGCAGTTATCAGATCCTACAGGGAGTGTCTGGAGCACAGACCTGAAGGTAAAGATACAGAGATTGGGCCCATCCTGGAATCTAGGTCCCTTTAGGATTCTCATTGTTATCCAAAATCAGCAGCAAACAGGCTACTCCACAAAGGAGTGCGCCTCTCCCAAAGAGAAAAGGACTATATCAGTGCAATCTCTGCTCTGGCATGGGGCAGCAGTCTGTCTGCCCACCTGTGACTATGCAGGTGCTTCCTTTCACCAACTCTCTCCCTCTGCAGGGCAGCAGCCTCCCCGCCTCCCTGTGACCTGTACCATGACGGGGCTTCTCCTCACTGACCTGCATCAGTGGAGGCAGCTCTCCTCAAGGTCGCTTGCCTGCAACTGTAACAGGGTGGTCCCCAGGAAAGGGGGAGGTTCCAGGTTTCCTGCCCCACCCAAATGGAGGGTGGAGCTGAGCAGGGAGAGAAGCTGCAGAGAAGAGGAAGGAAGCAGGATGGAGCCAGGAGACCTGGAGGAGGCGCATGGAGCCTAGAGACATGTGAAGAAACTGTGCATGTCTTTTGGTCGTGGACTGGGTTACACAGTTGTGGGTGTGAGACCCGTGGGGAGGTGACAATGGCAGCTTTTATGTTGATTTTGATTTTGCTCTTTTCCTTCCGGGCTTGTCTGGTTGTTTCTGACCCTTTTCTGTGGGTCCCCACTGGAAGATGCTTTAGACTTGCGGCAGGCTTTGGGGCCTTGCTCTGGGCCAATCCCATTTGGATGGAGTTTTACCCACGAGGGGACGAGTAACCTTGGGTTCTTGATTTAGAAACTATATTCTTTGCCTTTCCTGTATTGTTTCCAAATTGTATTAAAGTTCCTTCCCATTAAAATCTCATATTGTTAGGGGGAAATGATGTCCTGAGTTAATCCCATACAGGCTTTGTGGACCCCACCCCCACTCCAGACTAAAGCCATCAAGATATTGGGAAAGACAAATCCCATCACCACCAAAGGGAGGGTGGCTGGGACCTGAGGGTGGAGTTGGGCAGCCAGGTTGGATATAAAAACAAAACACGAGGGCCTTGGGGGCTCTGGCTGGAGATCGCTCACCTCCTGGCTTCACCTCTCCTGGCTGGCGGCCATTTTGGGATTCCTGATCGGCAGATTGGGTAGGACTCATTTAAAACTTTGTCTCCCACTTTTCTCCCAGAGCTGTACATTTCCTCATTTCCACTTCCCTTGTAAATAAACCTTTTATTAACCTTTCCCATGTGCCTGCAGTAGAACATTGATAAGTCCTTTTAAGCGCGCGGGTGAGGACCCACAGTCAGGCACCCCGTTTTGTATCGGGGTTGCTCTACAACAATATGTTTTGTGTTGATGCGGCGGATGGCAGAACCCATTTAGAATAGGCAGGTTTGCGGTCTTTGGGCTGCCCCTCTCCCTGCCCTGTAACACAACCATGCAGGCCTATCTCAGAAAACCTGTCCCTTTTGGGCAGTTCTTCCTGCCCGCTTGTGTCTATGCAAGTGTCCTTCATTCTCTTGTCCCTTTCCCTAATAAACTTGTTCTTTAATTATAACTAACGTCTCCGTCTCGTGGAGAAACTCGCCTGGGAAGCTTGCCGTGTGTCGCTGAAAGGGGAGCTCTGGTGAAACTGTTATAGGACGTTGGGGGCCAAATCTGTTATAGGACAGGGAAAGGGGCAGCCCAAACCCCGCAAACCTGCCTATTTTAAATGGGTTCTGCCATCCTCCACATCAACACAAAACATATGAGACTTTAATGGGAAGGAACTTAAATAAAACTAGGAAACAATACAGGTAAGGCAAAGAGTCTAGTTTCTAAACGAAGAACCCAAAGTTACCCGTCCCCTCGTGGGTAAAACTCCATTCATATGGGATCGGCCCAGAACAAGGCCCCAAAGCCTGCCACAAGTCTAAAGCATCTTCCAGTGGGGACCCACAGAAAAGGGTCAGAAACAACCAGACAAGCCCGGAAGGAAAAGAGCAAAATCAACATCAATATAAAAGCTGCCATTGTCACCTCCCCACGGGTCTCACCCACATCTGTGTCACCCAGTCCACGACCAAAAAGACAAGCTGTTTCTTTACGTGTCTCTAGGCTCCATGCGCCTCCTCCAGGTCTCCTGGCTCCATCCTGCTCCTTTCTTCCTCAGTCTCTCTTGCAGCTTCCTCTCTCCCTGTTCAGCTCCACCCTCTCTTGGGTGGGGCAGGGAACCTGGAACTTCCCCCTTTCCTGGGGACCACCCTGTTACAAAACCTTTCCCAGAGTGAACCCAAGGACCCCGCACTCCAAACTCCAAAAACCACATCATATGTATAACTAAATAAATCTTTAAAAATTTTTAAATCTTCCAAAATTCAAAACTGATCTGTGGATATAATGCAAAATTTTCTGGGGCACTCACCTCTGGTCTGCCAGGCAAACAACAAGCCATCTTCACAGGATCCATCTTATATGCAGAATCTACAGTCTAAAAGAGTAAGTCACTTTTTACAGATATAAGATTTAACAAAGGGCACCTAGCCTTTGCATCTCTAAAGGGTGTTCTTCAGAGAGGAAACTAGATCCTGAATTGCCTTCCTCTGGCATTAGCATATCTTCAGATCAGAAGCTGGAAGCCCCTCCTATCAAGAAGAATTACATTCTTAATGTCAATGACTCACTGTTTCTAGCTATATAAACTAAATTCAAACTTATGTTTATTCAGAACTGTTCTGTCAGAGAAATATCTGTTTGGGCTCATTTCCAGGTTCAAATCCTCACCTTGATTATCTAACAAGCTCTAACTATTCTTGAGACATTATTTCTCAGTTAACAAAGCATAAATAATTTTTCTTTTAGTGAAATTTTTAATAAAGTTGCCAGTGAGATAGAAAGAAATGTTTATTCTTGGAATATAAAAGGGAAAAAATTAAAGAGCAGTTAGGACTATATTAAGTTTCCCATGGTTCTAACTTACTGAGGCATAGATTCGAATGGTGATTATTACACTCAAGTGGGTGAAGTCAGGGCCTCCCTGGTGGCGCAAGGGGTTAAATCTGTCGCCAGCCACTGCAAAATGAGTTCCATACCTGGCCACAGAGATAACTCATATGGCGCAGCAGACCTCTCCTGTCTCACCCACTGTTCCCCTCAGCAGTGTATTTCAGTAGCTCTGCCTGTTCTGCTCCTCCTGTCTCTGGTGAATCCTCTCAGCCCCCTGTACCTCTGGCCTACACCCCAGTTCATAAATATATAAAAATAAATATATAAATATATAAAAATAAATCTTAAAAAAAATAAAGTGGGTGAAGCCACAGGACTTGTGAAGAAGCAAGTTGTAAGAACTGCTAACAGACATGATGTGAAGAACGTAAGACAGTCTTGGCGTGCTGCTTCTCAGATGGTCACTTTCCAAGCTAGACTGCACTAACTCACATAAATCTTGGGAAGTGGCAAGGGTGTTATTATGAGTAGCACCAAATTACTTGCTGAGATCTCAGACACCATTATTGCCTTTCATCCCTTTGATCTTACATATACAATAAGAACTTTGTATGGTATAGCATCTTCCCCCTCCTTAATGTTCTACTTTGAATCCTTGCAAAAGGAAAATTTCCCAAAATAATTTTCTAAACATGACAACAGTATCAATATTATTTTCAGAGTACTTCCCAGTCCTCATATTGAGGCAGCCTCAGTAAAAGAAATTGTGAACCGGTAGGATGTTACCTCAAGTCCTGTTTGAAAAAGTCCAAACACTTTGGCCCACTATACCAACCATGAGATGCCGAGAGACAAAATATATTAGATCCTGACCAATAATCCTCTCACAGTTTCCTAGAGGGGAAAGCCTAGAGCCCACATGTGCAGTTGGAACAAAGCCTTCTTGTGCATACCGAGGATCGGGGTTGCTTACTGGGAGGTTGCTGAGGCCCAGGCTGGGGCACAGGTCTGCTAGGATGTGCTGGTGGCTGAGTGATGAATGGAATGAACTTCCCAGGTGAGGCCAGTGTCCCAGGGTGAAAAGCTAGGATTTGTGAGACCAGGACTGGAGCTTGTGTAGGCTCCTGAGGTGCTGGTGGCCGAGTGCTGAATCTTACACAATGGAATTGAACGTGGGGAGGCACATGCTTAGAAATTCAGAGGGATTGAAAGATCAGTGATATGGGGTTTGCTCTGAAGTTTTGAGGTCAATGTCATACCTTCATTGCTGTGATCCAGAGGGCTGGAAACTGATGCTTTTATCATTGCTGTTACTGCGTCTCACTCAAATGTGTTCAGAGGACAAGCCAGATCTAACCCAGGCAAACCTGGTATCTTGCCAGCTTTCCCTGCTACCTCTGCCTCTCTTTCAGATCTCATGTGTGTAGAGTTTGTTGTACATCTACAAACCAACCTGTAAGACATTGTGACAAATGTACTCTTAGCTTTTCAACTTCTCCAAATTGAAGAAGGGTGGAATGGAGGTGCAGCCAGCCAGCACAGATCAGGGCTACTATTGTCCTTATTTAAAGCCAGTTAGAAAGAACTTCCTGCTACTTGTCTTAGATTTCCTTTATTTTAAATAAAGAAATTAATATCTTAGGATATCTGAATACTCTCTCTTTGATATACTTAACAGTTTTAGTGACATCTTGTTTTTGAAGTATTTTGAAATATGTATGAATAGAATTTTTAAAGAGCAAAATACTGGTAAGAAGTCTCTTTAAGAAATGCTATTCTTGGGCCTCTCTGGTGGTGCAGCGGGTTGAGCACAGTGTTGTGAAGCTCTGCGCAGCCTCCACAGTGCCTGTTCAATTCCCGGCCAGTCAGGGAATTCCCACATTATGCCATACCTCTTCTGTCTTGCCCGCTGCTCCCCTCAGCAGGGTATTTCAGTCCTTCTGCTCCCTGCTCTGTTTCTGGTGGATTCTCTCACCCTCCCGTGGCTCTGGCCTGTACCCCATTGCTTATATAAATAAATATATCTTTTTTTTTTTTTTTAAAGAAAGAAATAGTATTCTTGGGGCCTTCCTGGTGGCACAAGGGTTAATTAAGCACAGCACTGTGAAGCTATCCGCATGCAGCCTCTGCAGCACCAGTTCAATCCCCAATCCCCTACCCGCACCCTGGCTGGCCAGGGAGCTACACATATGGCACAGCAGACCTCTCCTGTCTCGCCCACTGCTCCCCTCAGTAGTGTATTTCAGTCAATCCTCCTGTTCTGTTCCCCACTCTGTCTCTGGTGAATCCTCTCACCCTCCCACACCTCTGGCCTGTACCCCAGTTCTTGTATTCATAAATAAATAAATCTTAAAAAAAATACTATTCTTCACATATGTTCACATTCTATTATGTTAAGATTTTAAGCTAAAGATCAAATCTGGCTATTTTTGTAATCAGTTTTGAAATCAGACTGTTCTATAAAGGAGTCATTTAAAATCTACATTAACATGCATCCCTTCAAAATCCACTCAGTTCTGTATTATTCATTCTTCTCTGAGTTGCTATGTAGTAGTGATGGTTCATCATACTGATCTAAGTTTATCAAGCTTCTAATTCCTCCTTGCAAAATTAAAATTTATATTAATGGATTTTAAAAAGTATAAAATGGAATAAATTGGGTGTCTCCTGAGATTGAAGTAAATAATTTGATAATGTGACATGCCCCAAGCTTTACTGACACTCCCCCAATGTTATCATCATGTACAAATATCACTTTCTCCTTATATATCTGATGTACAGTATAACTTGAACAACTGTTAAATAAGCACACAAAAGAATGCATTCCATATAAATCAGAATTTTCAGTTAATTTTATCCTCTGCTTTTTAACTCCACTTAAGATTATAACTTCCGGGCCTCCCTGGTGGCGCAGCGGTTGAGCGCTGGGTTGCGAAGCTGCCCGCGGCCTCTGCAGCGCCAGTTCTATCCCCGGCTGCTCCCCGGCCACCGAGGAGGATCCCACATGGCGCGCAGACCTCTCCTGCCGCCCGCTGCTCCCCTCAGCAGTGTATTTTGTCAGCCTGCCTGCTCCGCTCCCCGCTCTGGCTCTGGTGAATTCTCTCACCCTCCCGCGCTTCTGACTGTACCCAGTGCATGTATAAACAACAAACAAACAAACAAACAAATAAATAAAACATGCCGCAATAAAAAAAAAAAAAAAGATTATAACTTCCTAAGAATAGGGATCACCTCTGATATGCCTCTATACACCTCCTTTTCACATTCTAATACTATGAACATAGGAAATGCTCAATAAATATTCATTGAATTAAACAAGTTTGAATTAAAATACATCTTTGACAGTTATTAACCTTAAATATTAATGTAATCTTTACATTTTAAAAGTACTTTATTAATAAAAAATTTTAAAAAGAGAAACTGTTAGGGGGAACAGGATATCCTAAAGCTAATTCCATACAGGCTTTGTGGACTCCACCCCCACCCCAGGCCAAAGCCAAAGACACTGGAAACTCCAAATCCCATCACCACCAAAGGGAAGGTAGCTGGGACCTGAGGGTGGGGTTAAGTAGCCAGGTGGATATAAAAGGCAGACACGTGGGCTTTTGGGGATCCCCATTTTGGCTCTCTGCCAGCTCGCAGCGTCCGGCCAGCTCTGAAAGTGACTTTGGGTTTCCAGGTCGTCGGATCGGGTAGGACGCAATAAAGACTTTATTTCCCTATTTTCTCCCTGAGTTGTACATTTTCCTTATTTCCTTTTCCCTTGTAAATAAACCTTTTATTAACCTTGTGTGTGTCTGTAGTGGAATATTAGTAAGTCCCTTTTAAGCGCTTGGGTGAGGACCCACAGCCAGGAACCCGTTTAATATCGGGGCTGCTCTATAACAAAACAACAATTAAGCAATATTCTAACTATCTCAAGCCAACCAAACTTTTTTTTTTTTTTTCTATTCCTAGGCTCTTGGTTTAAAAAGAATTGCACTAAATGTGCACAAGATTTTTTGTTCTGCTTTGTTTTGACTTATTGTATTTTACAATCATTTACTGTGTTTTGTGACAAGTTTTAATTTTTATAACTGCATAATGGTGCATCCAGAGGTTAGCTCCAGCCCTAGGACTGTGTAATAATTAATTTTTTTAGGATGATTTACTTTTTTAAGATTTTATTATTTATTTATACAACAACCAGGGTACAGGCCACATGTGTGGGAGGGTGAGAGGATTCCCCAGAGACAGAGCAGGGAACAGAACAGGCAGACTGACTGAAATACACTGTTGAGGGCAGCAGCAGGCGAGACAGGAGAGGTCTGCCGCACCATGTGGGTTGCTCCGCGGCTGGCGGGGATCAAACTGGCACTGCAGAGGCTGCGGACAGCTTCACAGCGCTGTGCTCAACCACCTGTGCCACCAGGGAGGTACAGGCCCTGTAGCAATTAATTTTTTATGTCAACTTGACTGGGCCAAAGGGTGCCCAAATTAAAGATTCTGGGTGTATCTGTGATGGTATTTCCAGATAAGATTAGCATTTAAATCAGGAGCTTCAAT